CCCCCCCCCCCCCCCCCCCCAACCCTAAGCTTTCAAAACACTAATCACTAAAAAGCCCACTCCAAGAAAGTCTTTGTCCACTAAACTGCCATCAGCGCTGTAATGAAAGTGAATAACCGTTGTACTGTGAAGGTGGAGAGGGGATTGTCAACCCGTCCAACAACTTCTCTTGTTTACCTTAGGTTTGCATTATTGGGTCTATTATCTTTATTATTATTATTTTTTTTAAACTAATTTTTTTTTTTTGTCGGAGGTGAGGCAAATCAATCTCCACGCTTAAATTAATTTTTTTAAAGTTACACATCCAAGTACGTATTTTGAAAGTGCACTCCATGTCCATGCACATGTATAAGTAAAAAAACGCAAAAGAGTACATAGAAATAAATTTTAAGAATCAATATAAAGTATCAGACCGATTTTTGAAAGTGATCAACCAGCGGTGTGCGGTAGCCGGTTGTTAAATTTTTACTCTGCAACCGAACCGGTTAACAAATAAAAAATAACAAAATCGCTTAACAAACTTTACACAGACTTTTTTTTGTCTACAACAGACAACTAACTACCTAATCAGAGATGTCGATGTGCTCAACCACTAAGATTTCATACCACACTCCCCGACCCCATAAATAAATTTAAAAAAATAGTTAACAGACACACACACATGCACCCACGCACCCAGTCACGCATAAAAAGACAAGGAGCAACTAAAACAGCGGTTCACAACTTGTGGGTCGCGACCCCTATGGTCGCCTAAGACCATCGGAAAACACATATTTATGAAGTAGCAACGAAAATAATTGTATGGTTAAGGGTCACCACAACATGCGGAACTGCAATAAAGGAACGTGGCATTAGGACGGTTGAGAGCCACTGAACTAAAAAGTCTGAATGACATTCCATCGTTTTGATTTTGATGATAGATAAAGTTAATGATGAGTTAATGATAAAGTTAATAATGAAGTTAATGATGAAGGGAAGCAAATCCACTTGAACTACAACTCACCTTTTCCCAGCGTTTCCTAAATCAATAATTTTAGGGTTTTTCAACTCACCCTTTTTCTCGGGGTTTCCAAAACACCCTAACCTCTGGTTTACCAACTTAACATTAACTCTGGTTTACCATACCATCATTTCCTCTAATTCACCAACTCACCATTTCCTCTTATTTACCGACTCACCATTTCCTCTTGTGACCAGGTCATCCTCTCCTCTAATTTATCAGTTCACCATTGCCTCTGGTTTACCAACTCACCCTTACCTCACATTTTCTAACTCACCCTTGCCCTATGGTTTTCCAAAATAAGTTACACTTGAGGTCACTCTCAACTTATGTACACCATGTTCTAAAGACCACTTCAGGCCGGCCTGGCCGTAAAAGGATACCGTCACAAGCAGCTTGAGTGGTTAGCCTTATTAATTTCTGTCATATACGATGCATTGATAAGAAAGAGAAACGATTTCTCAGCAAAACACATCCAAAATGACTCACTGATTTCGTTTGTAATACAAGTTGTATAAAGAGAAAAAATGACAAATTGATGGGGGGAAAAAAAAACATGAACGATTTTGGCAGCGATATATTCTTTTATTTGTCTCTAAAATTAAGATAAGAAAACTTAAATGGTGTTGCTAAATAAATATTAATTGGTACCGGGTACCCAGTAAATGGCATGCAAAAGTAATAAGCGAATTGTACTTAAAATAAAACCTTTACATTGAAAATAAAATAAAAATAGTCTAGCTTAACAATAATCACCTCTCGTTCAAACCATCGTTCTAGCTCACATCACCCATCACCATCTAAAGGTCAACCATCACTATTCAATGGTCAACCATCATTATCCAATGGTCAGCCCTCACCATATAATGGTCACCCATTGCAATCCAATTATCAATTATCACTATCCAATGGTCACCCATCATAAGTGGTTTTCCATCAAGAGTGTTCAATCCATCAATATCAAATGTTTCGTCAATTCCTAATCGCTCATCCACCACTATTCATTGATGAGTCATATCTAACCGATGTCATCCATAAATATTCAATAGTCATCCACCAATATCAAATGGTTATTCCTCACTATCAAAATACCCCCAATACTCAGTGGTTTACTTCCCATGTTCATCCATGTATATTGCAATGGTCATCTTTTGAAATTCAATCGTCAATCCATCCTGGCATCCTGATATTTGGCACTCTGAAATCCGCCAAATTCATTTAAGTTCATCAGCAAGCTCCCAAAGCTCTAAACACACTTTACTCCATTCAAAAAAAAAAAATAATAATAATAACTTTTGATCAGAGAGGTTGGGGGGGGGGGGGGTTTTTTCCAAAATCGTTGTGAGGTGCCACCATATTGACTGGAAAATGTAATCAGGTGACTTATATCCCCCTCCCCCATACACACATACTATTTGGCTGCTGTCTTACTTTCATAGTGTCTGATGTTGTTACTTTAGACGTTTGGTTTTCTCCACTCCGAAAGTAGCCGTCTTGCTGGTAAGAAGAGTTCTCTGCACCCGTACAAACAACAGAGACAAATTATATAAAATAATTCTTTCTTGTGGCCTACGCCCTACAAGAAGCTTTTGAGAACCATAAATACACGCCTCCGACTCTTCAAGAGCAACCCATTATTTATTTTGAAAATACTCTGGAACGAGACCTTTAACAAAATGATTTTTGGCTCCTAAAATGTGATCTTTTATTTTAAAGAAAAGTGTTGGGGAGCCTTTCACTGCGCTTTTCAGTTTTAGGTACTGGTGGCACCAATAGTAACACATTTCAGGTTGATATTACCAGACGATATCTCGGTCACTACTTGAAAGCCAGACGTCAAGGCCTGCTAGCTGACCTCTTTATTTTTGCACTGCTCAACAGACAGTGTTTTAACAGACGCACGGTAATTGACCAAGGGTTGTAAGTGTCCACTTAACTCGGCCGACGTTTGCGTTTATGTAACGTCGAGATAAAAATTCGGTGACAGGACTGCTTGAGATATGTTGCTTTGTCTGCAGTTTGCCACCACAACAAAGTTTATAATAAAAAAATTACTTATCATACTACGCTTTAAATATATTTCAACATAACAATTTAAGGAAAATAATAAGTAACAAAAAATTGAGCTATTAAGCGCTTCAGAAAAAAAAAACAACAACACAAAAACATATTTTTCTCGTAATTTTCCGTAAGCATCTCTGCACAGATTCTGTCATCTTTTGGTGTCTTATAATTATAATAATAATAAAGCTTATTTCCAAAACACGCTTCATACCCAAAGGCTCGAAGAGCGGTACAAAGTCAACCAAAAACAAATCTATAATTTACCACATTTAAAACAAACGCAGTACTACAAAGACTAATTTCAATGGCAACGTCTTTCTACCCATTTCAACCCTAAGCAACACAGCCAATATGCATTAACTGGAAAATATGGTAAACAGTCATCCCAGAAGGTGTTTGCGAAATAGATGTGTCTTTAAATCGGTTTTAAAGGACTCCAGTGTCTGGTTGTTCCTGAGAGCGACAGGAAGGGCGTTCCAAATTGTTGGGCCAGCAAATGCGAAAATGCGCTTTCCGTAAGTCTCAAGGCGAACACGTGGTGTCGAGAGTTTGCCACTATTGAATGAGCGGAGTTATCTAGTGGGTACATAAGGCGTCAGCAGCTCTTTCAGATAGGACGGCGCCAGGTCATGTAAGCAGCGGTAGCACAAAGTTGTGATTT